CAGCTACTTGGGAGGCTGAGGCAGGAGAGCTGCTGCTTGAACCCAGGAGGTAGAGAATGCAGTGAGCTAAGACTGTATCACTGCACTCCAGCCTGGGTGACACAGTGAGACTCTGTCTAAATAACACAAAAAAATTAAATTTGAATTAAATGAAAAAAGAACTTATCAAAATTTGTGGAATGCAACAAAAACAGTGCCTAAGTGAAATTTATACTAAACTCTCACACACCCACAAAAAATGTATACGTGGATCTTACACCTTTCACAAAAATTAAGCCCAAATCAATTACAGATGTAAATTTAAAATGCAAAACTATCCACTTGGCTTTGGTGATGAATTTTGAGATAAACCACCAAAAGCACAATTTATGAAAGGAAAAAATAAGTTTCACTTCATTAAAATGAAAACCTCGTACTCTATGAAAGCAAGTGTTAAAAGAATAACAATAAAAACCACAGAGAGATTTTTGAAAATCTTCACAAAAGCACTTATCTGATTAAGGACTAGTATCTAAAGTAAAGATCTCCCTGTTTTTTCTTTTTTCCATTTTTTTTTTTTTTTTTGAGATAGAGTTTCACTATTGTTGCCCAGGCTAGAGTGCAATGGTGCGATCTTGGCTCACTGCAACCTCCGCCTCCCAGGTTCAAGTGATTCTCCTGCCTCAGACTCCTGAGTAGCTGGGGTTATAGGCATGAGCAACCATGCCCAGCTAATTTTGTATTTTAAGCAGAGATGGGGGTTACTCCATATTGGTCAGGCTGGTCTCAAACTCCTGACCTCACGTGATCCGCCTGCCTTGGCCTCCCAAAGTGCTGGGATTACAAGACATGAGCCACTAGGCCCAGCTTCCTTTTTTTTTTTTTTTTGATGAGATGGAATTCAGTGGCTCGATCTCAGCTCACTTCAACCTCCACCTCCTGGGTTCATGCGATTCTTCTGCGTCAGCCTCCCAAGTAGCTGGGACTACAGGCATGCGCTACCATGCTCCACCTAATGTTTTTTTATTTTTAGTAGGGATGAGGTTTTACCATGTTGGCCAGGCTGGTCTCAAACTCCTGACCTTGTGATCTACCCACCTTGGCCTCGCAAAATGCTAGGATTACAGGTGTGAGCCACTGTGCTCGGCTTCCTTGTTTTTCTTTTTCTTTTTTTTTTGAGACAGTCTTGCTCTGTCATCCAGGGTGGAGTGCAGTGTTTCAATCCTGGCTCACTGCAACCTATGCCTCCTAGGCTCAAGCAATTTTCATGCCTTAGCCTCCCAAGTAGCTGGGACTACAGGGGTGCCCCACCACACTGGGCTAATTTTGTCTTTTTTCCAATCCCGTGGCAGCTCCAGTCCTGGCCTCAGCCTACCACTCCTCAGCCCCACTGCCTGGCAGCCTGGGTGGCCTCACATGAACCACCATGCCTGGTCTCCTTTTTTTTTTTTTGAAACAGGATCCATTATGCTGCCCATGCTGGGCTTGCACTCCGCAATGCAAGCAATCCTCCCACTTTAGCCTCTGGAGTAGCCAGGATGACAAGTGTGCGCCCCCCACGCCTGTCTCCAAAGAACTCTTAAATCTCAACAATAATAAGACAAACGACCCAATGAAAAATGGGCAAGAGACCTAAACACACATCTCACCAATGAAAGATATACAGATGGCAAATATACATATGAAGAGATGCTCCACATTATATGTCATTAGAGAACTGCAAATAAAACTGAAGAGACATCACTTACACATTAGAATGGACAACGTTCAAAATACTGAGAACAGCAATGGATAGCAAAGATGCAGGCAACAGGAATCCTGATTCCTTTGCTGGTAGGAATGGGAAATGGTAGGTCCACTTTGGAAGATAGGCAGTTTCTCACAAAACAAAACGTTCTCTTACCAGAGGACCACATTCTCTTATCACATTCCTTGCTATTTACTCACATGAGTTGAAAACTGTTTACTCAAAAGCCTGCTCATGAATATTTATGGGAAATTTTTTCATAACTGCCAATTTTAGGACTTAACCAAGACATCCTGCAACAGGTTTATGGATAAATAATCTGTGGTACAATCTTATGATGAAATACTGTTCCATGGTAAGAGAAGTCAGGTATCAAGCCATAAAGACACAGAAGGACCTTCAAAGTACATTGCTCAGTGAAGGATGCCAATCTGAGAAGGCTACATCCTGAATAACTCCAAGTGTATTACATTCTGGAAAACAGAAAACTGTAAGACAGCAACAATATCTTTGGATGTCAAGAAGTTGTGGGAGGCCAGGCGCAGTAGGAAGCCAAGGCAAGCAAACTGCTTGAGCCCAAGAGTTTAAGACCAGCCTGAGCAACATGGCGAAACCCCATCTCTACAGAAAATACGAAAATTAACTGGGCATGGTGGCACGCACATGTAGTCCCAGCTGTTCTGAGGAGGCAGGAGGATCATCTGAGTCTAGGAGGTAAAGGCTGCAGTCAGCCATGATCACACACCACTGCACTCCAGCCTGGGCGAAAAGGAGTGGGACCCTGTCTCAAAAAAAAGTTAAACATGGGAGACTGAGGTGGGAGGATGGCCTGAGTCCTGGAGTTCCAGACCAGCTTGGGCAACAGAGTGAGACACTGTATTTAAAAAAAAAAAAAAAAAAAAAAAAGGCCAGGCCCAGTTGCTCATACCTGTAATCCCAGTACTTTGGGAGGCCGAGGCGAGTGGATCACCTGAGGTCAGGAGTTCAGGATCAGCCTGACCAACATGAAGAAAGCTTGTCTTTACAAAAAATACAAAATTAACTGGGCGTGGTGGCACATGCCTATCATCCCAGCTACTCAGAATCACTTGAACCTGGGAGCCAGAGGTTGGTGAGCTGAGATCATGCCATTGCAATCCAGCCTGGACAATAAAAGCAAAACTCTGTCTCAAAAAAACAAAAACAAAGGTTAAATATATTCCCAAGCTTGGACCTAGACTCTCCCAGCTTGAAAAATGTAACCCCTAGAGTGGGTCAGTCCCTGGTAATGGAGAATAGGATCAACTGATCAGCAAGGAACTATGAGAGCTCCACACCTCCTTCTCTCCTTTGGTAGCAAAGAAACATTAGCTTCCCCAGGTTTCCATTTTCCAACATGGTGATAAAAATAGAAAAAAATTAGCCAGGCACGGTGGCGCATGCTTGTAATCCCAGCTTCTCAGGAGGCTGTGGCAGGAGAATCACCTGAATCCGGGAGGTGGAAGTTGCAATGAGCCAAAATTGCACCACTGCACTCCAGCCTGGGCAACAGAGCAAGACTCAGTCTAAAAAAAAAAAAAAAAATCTAGCAGAATAACTCAAACCCAGTGTTTATGTAAAAAGGATGTAAGAAAATTTTAAGGCACTTTTGCTAACAACAAGAAAACCCACTACTGCTTTCAGAAAATGATAATGTCGGGCCGGGCATAGTGGCTCATGCCTGTAATCTTAGCACTTTGAAATGTTGAGGCTGGCGGATTGCTTGAGCCCAGGAGTTCAAGACCAGCTTGAGCAACACAGCCAGACCCCATCTTTAAAAAGAAAAGAAAAGAAAATGATAATGTCACTTAATTATTTCCATGGCAGGGAACAGTTTGCTAAAGTATTACTCATATCTGAATGCTTCTAGGTGTTGCAAGTTTAAGTCCTGGAATACCATCTGAAATCATCAAACTGGCCAGGCACAGTGGCTCATGCCTGTAATCCCAGAACTTTAGGAGGCCAAGGCAGGTGGATCACCTGAGGTCAGGAGTTCGAGACCAGCCTGGCCAACATGATGAAACCCTGTCTTTACTAAAAATACAAAAATTAGCTGGGCATGGTGGTGGGTACCTGTAATCCCAGCTATTCAGGAGTCTGAGGCAGGAGAATTGCTTGAACCTGGTAGGCAGAGGTTGCAGTGGGCCGAGATTGAGCCACTGCACTCCAGTCTGGGCAACAAAGACTCCGTCTCAAAGAAAAAAAAAAAAAAAAAAAGAAAAAGAGAAAAGAAAAGAAAATCATTGAACTAAAAGAACAGACCTCAGAAACATATTCCATGTGCTCAGGCGAAGAACAAAGAATTTTTAACACGTAATACTGGGATTTTTTTTTTTGAGATTCACTTCTTTTTTGTCTCTTTGGAAATATACTGTCTCTCAAGTTCTTCTGATACCATATATTTTACATTTATCGGAAAAATTACATTCAAGTGAATATATCTTTTCAAGGTCATAAACCTAAGGTGGGACAATGCCAATCTGAAACTGTGCTGAAAGGAGAGATCACCCAAGAATGTTTACAAAAAGGAATCTCAACCCAAAGGAGTTCCCATAGGATATCTGTGCCCTGGAAAAATGCCAGAATGAGAGGCATAGCATTTTATGCAGAGTAGTTCCAAGTAAATAATTTCCCTGTTTTTCTCTCATGTAAAATATCCACAAACAAGAAATAAATCTTTTAAAAGAGGCATCCATAGGAAAAAAGATTTTTAAAATACTGCATGTGTTTGAAATGCACCACGCAGGACAAAGAGTTGGTGATGATGTTTTCCATTGGAGGGGGAAGTAGGCGTTTGGGAATGCGGGGAGGGATCTGGAAATTCAGGGATTTATGAGCTGCCGTAGGAGGAGCTAGGCTGGGGGACAGGGTAGTGGATTTGAGGCTCTGCTTCCAACATCTTTGTAAGACTCGGGGAAATCGCCTTTGGGAAGAAAGTAGGGACTGGGGACCCCACAGACTGCAGCTCCTCCCACACAAACCCCACACACAAGGCGGGACTCTCCCATGGCCCTCCCGTAGTTCCTGCACAATGTGGGAAAGACGCGGGGCTGTGGGCCCAGAGCTGCCCAGAGAGGGAGGGCTCCGGGGCTGGGACCGCAGTAGCCGCGCGGGGACGGGACAGGACGGTTGGAGTCCCGGCTGCCAGCCCAGCCCACACTGCTGCCGGCCGGAGGTGACCATGGGGAGGCCCGGGTCCCACGACAACGGCTGGTTCCAACCAGTCCGGCCCTGCACACTCACCATTTTCTGGCCTCAGGGGTTTCCCGGTGTCGTCCCTACGGCTCACGCTGCCAGCACAGGATACAGCGCATCAGATGCAGGTAAACAGCAAACTGACGCATCAACGGGCCAGGAGACGGTAAACTGAGCACAATCCGATCGCATAGTGACGTAACACGCATTTGCGCAGCGAAGCTGTACCCTTCTTTCCGGTGGCGCCTCTGATTGGGCAATTAATACAGCCCCGCCCCCTTTTGTCCAAATGACAGCTAGGCGGCAGGTCTTGTAGCTAGGCAGACCCCGTTTCCGCCAGTGGGACGGAACTAGTGCCCTCCGTGGACAATTGTGTGGAAGCAGAAATTGTTCCGGATCTCGGGTCGGACACGGAAGCCTTCCTACAGTGTTTCTGGATGCGGGGACAGGGATGCGCAGGAATTCCAGTCTCAGTTTCCAGATGGAGCGACCCCTCGAGGAGCAAGCCCGGAGCAAGTGGTCGTCTACTCAAGGCCGCACAGGAACAGGAGGGTCTGATGTGCTCCAGGTACTAGGGGCTTGGCATAATGTTGTAAGGCCTCTTATGAAATAGTGACCCTTATTTATAAACGGACAGTTACCCCATCATGTGTAATAAAAAGTGTGGCTGCATTTTAATCCTTGACCTTAACAGCGTGGATGCTTCCACCTTTTTTTTCCCACCTTCACACATTTGGCACTTTAGAAAAGTAACCCCAAGCTAGGGCGTGGTAGTACACACCTGTAGTCTCAGCCGCTGGGAGCGGGGGTGGGGGGAAGGTGGATGGGCTGAGGCAGAGCTACTTGGGGTGGCGCGAGTGTGGGGGTGGGGGGACGGTGGATGGGCTGAGGTGGGAGGATCACGTGACACCAGGAGTTTGAGTTCAGTCTGGGCAGCATAGCCAGAACCCATCTCAAGGGAAAAAAAAAAAA